CCTCTGGTGAACACACCCAAATCCTGCCCACTTACACCAGTCTCTTGAGCTCCAGTGCTCTGCTTTCCTGGCCAATGCCAACATGTGGGAGTTGCTATATAATCTCACACTCATCATATCTAAAATGGGGATTAACTTCCCTTCAGCCAGCTGTTTCCCCAGGACCTCAAACTTTGATGGCACCCGTCAGCCCCCACTCTTCCTGTAAACCGTCCTGGCTGGCTTCTGCCTTTTTGCTCTCACCAACCATGTCCCATTATTGACTCACAGCAGCACCTGCGACGCGCGGACGCTCCTCCCCCCTGCCCCCCCCCCCAGCAGTGTGTTCTTTCCCACCTGCCCCTGACTGCTCTTCCTGCTGTCAGGCTTCCTTCTGATTCTGCACTTAGTGTCAGATTGATCTCTGTAGAACACTACATCTAAGTCATGTCACATTTCACTCCCTACAGGATTAAAGCCAAGTGTTTTAGCTCTGCATTCAGGCTTCAACGGCTATTCCCAAACGACCTCTCCGGCCCTCTCCTCCACTCACCTTGCTCTGGAGCCACATCTTTCTGAACGGTCACAGGCAGTTTCCACCTCTCTCCTGCCATCTCTGCCTCCCAAATCTCACTTGTCTTCCAAGGTACTCTGCAGCACCCTTCCCGGCAATGCCTTCTTCAGTCTTTCTGGCTTCAAGTGCTCTTTCCTGCTGCAGAACAGCCCGAGCCTTTTCTCTGCACCCCTCGACACGCTGGGCAGCAGGGCATCACCTGCAGTTGTTAGAAATGCAGATTCTCAGGTCCCGCTTGCAACTGGGGAATTCTACAGAATTCTTCACATTTCAGCCAGATGTCTAAGTGATGTGTGTGCACATTCTGAGAAGCACTGGACACTACATTCATTGAGGGTAGGGCCTTGCTTCTGTGTGGGGGTGACCTCTGGCCCAGACTAGGATTTTCAAGCTTCAGGTCTAAGAGCCCCATCAAGTGGCAGGTGCTGCCTTTAGTCAGATCCCATGAGCTATGAGAGCAGCGGATGGTAGTGATGGCCGGGGAGGACCATCATGCCCTCAAGGTCCCAGAGCTCACGCTTTGTACACCTGACTCTGGAAAGCACTCCTGTGACACGAGGTAGAATCGATCAGTTAAAAGGCAGTTACCCCAGCATGAAACAGAACTTTCCCCTTTTCACTAAAAACACTTTGGTAGGAATATGTTTAATATATGTTTTGAACAGAAATAATATTTAAAATTTTATCTCTATTATAACATTAAGACAGTTTCTAAAGTGGTTAACTTTAGAAAACACAGCAGGTCACATGAAGACAATGAAAATGACTCACAATTCTACTATCCAGTTATAAATAGTTAAGTTTAATGTTTATTTAAATTGTCATTTATTTATTCAACAAATATTTACAGAGTCCTACTATATGCAGACGTGGGCCAGGCACTGGGGATTGAGTGTGAAGGATGACATGGTTCCTATTTTTAAGCAGCTCACAGTCAGCGGGTGGGGTGTGGGGTGTGGGAGACAGGCACCGAACAATGTAGGAACCACAGTGTATTAGTTTCCTAGGGTAGCTGTAACAACGTACCACACGCTAGATTAATTTAAAAAAAGAAAAAGAAGAAGAAGAAATTTATCGTAGCAGGTTCTGGAGGCTGGAAGTCTGAGAGCAAGGTTCTGGCAGGTCGGCTCCTTCTGAGAGAGCCTGTTTCATGACCTTTTCTGGCTCCTGGGGCAGCCAGCCAGCCAGGGCGTTCCTTGGCCTGTCGCTGCAGCCCTCCAGTCTCTGCCTCTGCGGTCACATGGCTTCTCCCTGTGTGTCTGTCTTCACATGGACATCTTCCAAGTACACCAGTCCTCTTGGGACCCATCCTACTCGGTAAGCCCTCAACTCATCGGCAGTGGGCAGCAGAGTCAGGGGAGCACAAAGGGTGGGCAGGGGGCACAAGCACATCTGTGAGGCTCTTCTAGGAAATTACATTCAAACTGGCACTGAGTGGTGAGTTGGGATTCACCAGGCAAAGGTTCCCCAGAACATGACGTGGGAAGAGCATTCCAGCAGGTGAAGTGGTGCTGGAGGAGTGAGGAGAAGGCCAGTGTGCTGGGCACATGCTCGGGGTGGGGGGGGGGTCACTTGACTGAGGACCTTGGTGAGGGGTTGCTTTCTCGGGAGGAGAGGGAGAGCTAAGGGAGGCTGTCACGCAGGCATGATTCATGCTGCTTTGTGAGCTGTCTCCTCACAAAACTGAGCAGACTGAAGGCTGCGTTATTTTTCTATGTCCCCAGTTCTGAGGGAGATGCATGGTCATGTCCTCAGGAGCCCCCTGACTGAGAGAGGACACACGGTGGCCCCACCTGAGGAAGCAAGGCATGGCTGTGCCACCAGCAGCCTCAAGTCCAGGTGGCAGAACAAGCTCCGTCCTCAGAAGCTTGTTCTGACAGGAGACAGGGATCACCCAGCTCTAGGTCACCCTTGCTCTTGGGTGTCCTGAGTCCTTAGCGTCTGGAGGACTCAGATTTAGGACAGCCACCTCCCTCTCTTCCCTGCAGTGAGCACTGTCTCCAGGGAAGGCGCATGACCCTTGTGGGTCCCTGAGACCAGAGGCTCTGGTGCTGGGGAGACTAGGTTTGCAGGGACCACATCCCAGTACCCTGCTCCCTCAAGGGATGTCTGACCGTTGCCTTCCTGTGCATGAACTGTCCTGTCTGGTACTCAGCCCATCCCTTACCACACGCCCGAAGGGCTGCCACCACTCTATGTGATGGGAATGGGTGCCCCTGTCCAAAGCTGCCTGTGCCCCCTTGCCCGGGCTGGATGGAGAAGTGGGTCAGCTCCGTAGTCATGGTGACAGCAGCTGCTCCCTGCCAGCCTTCTAGCGTCTCACCACAAACCTCACCGATGAGCTCCTTTGTCCAGCCTTCGGGGATGGGGGGCCAGGAGGATGAAAGAAAGGGAGAGGAGGAGAGAGAGAGAGGGAGAGAGGGAGAGAGAGAGAGAGAGAGAGAGTGTGTGTGTGTGTGTGTGTGTTCAAGCACACAAGTGCCTGCACAGAGCTGGTGTGTGTGCCTAGCTCAGGGAACCCACAGAGGCAGGTAAGATTCTGTCCACTTCCTGCCCTCTGAAGGGCTAGCACTCTTCCTGCCTCTCTGGGTCAGGCAACTGCCAAGGGGGGAGTGAGTGTGTGTGTGTGCGTGTGTGTGGTCACGCGCACACCCGGGCATGCATGCACAGATGCGTGTGGAGGCCTGTGGCTGTCGGTGCAGCTGCTTCTGCGCGCCTTTGTGTGGATGAGCGTCCGGGAGGTTTGCTACCTTTATGCACATGTGTCTTTAGTTGTGTGTCATCTGGGTGGGTGTGTATGTTTGTGATGACACAGTGGCAATTCTGTGTCCTTTGTCTCTCCCCTCGTATGTATAATGTATGTATGAGCCAGGTTTGAGGAAGGTAAAGGTGGCACGAGCAGGGGGGGAGCTGGCAGAATGCTCCCCACTTGGGCCGGCTGTGCTCCCTCAGTCCTGCCTACCTCCTCTGCGGCCTACCAACCCTGGAGCCCACTCATTTCTCCTTTAGTGGAAAAAGAAAAGGTAGAGCCAAGGGGACCTTCTCCTGCTCTGTGATGCAGGCTGTGGCCTCTGCCATGGGCACAGACTGGCACCGGCAATGTGGCAGGCAGCCCTGGCACTGGATAGGGGTTGGAGCAGGGGTCTCCGAGGCCAGACCCAGCATCCAGAGTGGGCCAGGGGCTGGGAGGCAGCAGGAAAGAGCCCAGCCTCACATACCGGGTGCCATCTCCACTAAGAGATGCAGGGACCCAGACTCCACTTACCTGGGCTCTGGCCGGAAGCTGCAGCACTGAAGTGGGCGGTGACGCTGCTGAGCTGGAGCCCACTGTGAAGTGTTTGCACCTGTGTGTGAGCCCGACCACGAAGCACCAACACCTGTGCCGCCCTGGCCCCTTCTCAAAGGCACCAGAATGGCAGTGGTAATTGTCCTGGCACCCAGCTGTGTGCAGTGAGCACATGTATGTTTCATACATACATATTATTGTGTAATCATTCATCTCAGAACCCTAAAGCTGGCATTATCACCCTACTTTAGAGACGAGGAGTGGTACTCAGGATGTGGGAGCGTGGTAAGGAAGTTGGCCCGCATCCTGAGGCATGCGCGGTGTCTGCCTCCAGAATCTGCGCTGGTAATCAGTGTGCCTTCTGGCCCCTGATAGCACAACTGGACAGTCAGGGTGGGCCCAGGGAGCAGAAACAAGGTTTTATGCCAGAGGAGATACAGATTCAGAGACACTCGGGGTCAGGGGTGCCCCCTCCTACCTTCCTGGTTGCTGGGCACGTCACAGTGTGCCTGGAGAGGGACACGGACCCTGTAATCAGGAAGGACAGAGGAAGATTAGGATGCAGCGCTCCTTAGCAGCTGGACCTGGCTAAGCCCCCTGTGTCAAAACTCTTAAAGTTGAGACTGGCTTCAGCACTAGCAGGTTGACACCAAACTGCCTACATGCCAATCAGGGGCCCAGGAGTTAGGACAGTTTTACACAGGAGGAGACAGAGACTCAGAGTTTAAATGATTTGCTCAAGATCTTGTAGCTATTTCTTAAAAATTACCCCACGAGCGGCCCTCCCTGGTGGCGCAGCGGGTTAAAGCACTGCACTGAGAAGCTAAAGCCACTTCCGCATGAGTTCGATTCCCGCCTGCCCCGGAGTTGAC